ACTAGTAATCTTGAGCCCCAGGTTAATGTCCTTGGGACATCAATTTAAACCCCACAAGGACAAATGGCTAAAGTCTAAATTCACCAAAAATGTGGAAGCAAGAGCTAGTCTGGTTCACTAATATCGTTCCTTTGGAGAAAGAAATCTGCCATACTTACTTGGTCTGGCCTATGTGTGATTAAATGTGATCCACTGTCAAGATTCAGTAAGATCTGGTTGATGATTGTGTTTTGAATTCCACATTCCCACTTCATCAAATGCCTCCTGGAAATCCAACTACAGGTAGGTACAAACCCTCCTTTATCTAATTTGTGGTTGATTCTTAATTACCCACTGGGCAATTAAGGACAGGCAATAAAAACTGTCCCAGCCAGTGACACCCAGATCCCATCAATGAATAAAAAAAAACAGATTGAGGAAATGTATGAACAAGAAATTGGTTGCAACTGTTGCTTTTCAAAATCACCAAATGCCTGAAGATATTTATCATTAAAAGACAGCCGAAGGTTGCTTGGCAACCGTCCCAAAGAAGGTTTGTATTTTCAAAAAGAAATGTAGTTCAAGGGTAAGAGTGTGGACTGTTTGAGCTCATGTTCTGAGCTTTCCTCCCCATCACAGAGTGTGGTGTAGGGTTTGGGGGGTGGGGGAGGAAAACAAGGAAATGCAGGTGGGTGTGGAAGTGGGGGGGGGGGGGGGGAAGGGGGGGGGGGGGGGAGAGGGGGCCATGGGAGGGGGGGGGTGGGGGGGAGGAGGTGGCGGAAGGGGGCAGGGGGCACAAGAGGAGAGAGGGAGCAATAGAGTGGGGGCCGAGAGGAAGGAGGAGGGAGGATTTATAGACATGGGCAAGAGGGGTCCTTGGGGGTGGTGGGGTGGGTGAGGGCCTGGAGAGAGGGGTGGTACAAGCGGGGGGAAGGCGTGAAGGGGTTTAGGGCACGGAACAGCACTGAAATGGAGGGAAGGTGCTTTCGAGAGAGACAGTGAGTTAGAAAATGAGAGAATGAGAAAGTGGGATGGTGACAGAGAGGGCTTTTGGGGTGGGGCTTACAGAGCAGGGGTGAGGGAGAGGCAGGGAGGGGTGGGGAGGGGTATGTTGGTCAGTGCTGGAGGGGAGGGGAGAGGGGCAGGACAGGAGGGGCAGGACAGAAGGGGTCAGAGAGGAGGGGCAGGAGAGGAGGAGAGAAAAAGGGAGTGGGAGGAGGAGGGGGGTGGAGTGGGTGGAGTGGGGAGGATTAAGTAGGTGAGGGTTGTGGTGGGGGGAGGGGAGGAGAGGAGGTGGGGTTCTCCTAATTGGTTTCTGATTTTGCCGCTTGGTAGGGGTGGTCCTGCAGAGGAGGAGCCCATAGCAGGTGAGAAGTGGGTCTTGGTTTACTGTCACTCGGTGTCACCTCTACCCTCTGACCTCTGAACCCAGTCAGCGGCTGCTCTTTCTGTCCATTGTGGTCAGTCTGCTTGACCGAATTATTAGCAGAACTATGTCAGCTGACTACAGGCAACCAATGAGGAAGCAGCAGAGGAGGGGGAGGGGAACATGACAGAGGGGGAGGGGAATGGCTCTGAGTGAGACCTCAGGGACCCTCAGTCACGGCTCCAGCACACTCTCTCGTAGGAGCCGCTGAATAGTCAATGTGTGTCAGAAACACTGGTTACAGGCTGATGGTTAACCCTTTCCTTACACCAAGCTGCAGAGACAAACACTTGACATCCCCTATCATACTGACCCTGGTTCAATGGAGAGTGCAGGAGGACATGCCAGGGGCAGCACCAGGCATACCTGAAGGTGAGGTATCAACCT